ATGAAATTTCCACAAAATCATTAAATAACTTTATGCAAGACTAACAATACAATAGATAGTGACATGTCAAATATTTCCTTTTGGAAATATAATTTTTTAATATAATAATTTTTATTATATTTGTAATGAATGAATTATTAAATTTATTCCTATAGTGATATGATGATTTACTTTTTGTAAGTTTAATGTAAGAAGATTAAATTGGTGATATTATAAAAATTAATAAGTTAACTTTTTACATGAGATATTTATTTTGAAATAAATAAAAATATAAATATAAACATTTATTTTAGAATGGAGAAAGTAATAAATAAGTTCAAGTTTACACAATTTGCTTTTACAAAAAAAACCATTTCAAATAACTATAGTTTTTATTAGTATTATTATTATTTTACTTGCACTATTTTGCTTATTGACCATAAATGTGTGGGTAATTAAAATTAAATTTAAGAAAAATAATTTACATAATCAAATAAAATATTCATTCAAAAAAAAAAATTTCAATATTGACATTATAACCAAGTACAAAATCTGTCTCCCTAGACAAGTCACGTGACACGATAATGGATGGTGAGGATGAGCACACTAATAAGGGCCTAAGCCAACAAAATAATCAGTGCCACGTGGCAAAAGGACCCAGCAACACCTCACCACCTCACAGAGCAACGAAACTGATGGGTTTTTTTTCTGGACCCACCACGTGCGAACAGCATCTCAAGGCGCATTCTAGCCTGTCCCGGTCCCGTAAAATACCAAGTAGAAAAAAAGACAACAAACAGAACTCCAGTACAATGAATAAAGTCCACAGTGTTTTATATATAAATATATATATCTCTATATAAAGGGCAGGAAACAGTACAGTGCACCACCACCACCACCACCACCACCACCACCACCACCTCACATCACGCGCACTGTAGACACGAAAAGAAGGAGATAAGGAAGAACCCTTAAAAATCGCGGTAGGTGGCGTACGTTAGTGGGCGATGGGAGTGTCAGGACACATAGTACGTAGAAGGTAGTGATTTTACTGCTAAATTAGGCAGGGGGTGTACTGTGAGCTTTGGAGGGTACAATGCCGACAAATTAGGGTATTGGTAAGGTACGATTAGTCTCGTAAGTCGTATCAGCTAAATCTGGCCACTGTGTGCGTGTGGTGGTGTCGCCTCGAATTCAGTCCCTCTTTCAATAAGGACAAAACGGGGGCAATGGGGTCCATGTGAAACCCCACAACCCCTTGTGGGCTCCACATGAGATTTTGCGGTATTATTTTATTGACAGGCTGGAACTCATATTTTGTGACACGTATATTATAATATATTTGGGTATTTAATTTAAATTGTTAGGTTTGTGACTTAAAATTAAAATAAATTAGTTTTCTTTTTAATTTTGTGAAATTTGGAAAATAAATTGTATCTCATGTTTCTATTTTATAGTTGAAATTGATTTGGTAATTCCTTGTAGGTAGGTGGTATAATTGTTATTGAGTTTAGAGTAGATTGTAGAGAGGTAAAGTTAAATGGTATAATAATATACTCTTTATAATATATTATATAACGTATAAAGTGGTATTCGTATATATGACAAGTTTATGTTGGGGAGGTGACGTTAATCATCACTGTTAAATGCTCTGGACAACGTCCAATGAGAGAATAACTTAAAGATGATTTTTTTCCTTAGGTGAGATGTGGCAAACCATATAAATTTTGTTTTACTTGTGTGCATGCTTTATCTGTTCTATTTGTCAATTGTGTATATAAAATTTTAACAGAAGTACAAATAGGTATTTGGTGTGTCCGTTGTACTGACCAATCAAAGCCTTGTTTGCACAACACGCACTATTCTGATTAGTTTAGTACACCAAACGCATTGAATATCTATTCCTTAAATATTAGTATTTTACATTAAAAAAGAAAAAAGTAATATTAATATGCAACATAAAGATACTTTATTACCCTTCAATATTTTATAAGATTTATTTATCAAACTAAATAATGACGGTGTAATGGTAAAAAATTTAAACTCGTAATTTCCTTCTCTGCGGCCAATAATAAAAAAAAGTTGTCCCCTACTTTTTCCTTCCACAATCAAACAAAAAAGGAACAAAAAATTTCTTTCTCCATAGATGACTCATCTAATCCTTGATCCCGATATATATACATCCATTCTTTCTCCCTCATATCAAATCAAACATAAATTGCAATAAGATTAACTGTCATGTGAAAACATTAAAGTGAAAATAGATGTGTTAACACATTATGATTCAAATTAATAAATATAGGCTAGGGTATAGGTGGGTTGGGGAATGAGAGCCAAAATCTGTCCTAATCCAAACTTGTCTTGATTAAGCATTGACTATCCCTTAATTAAAGTTGTTGGAAATGGTAGAGCGTGTGAATGGGTAAAATGGTTCGTTTTGAAATTGTTTTAACTTCTTATTACCATACCAAACAATAGTTGACAGACTACTTGTTAGAAAAGGAAAAGGAAAAGGAAAAGGAAAAGGAAAAGGAGATTCCCTTTCCATCGAAATTTAATACTAAAGATTAAGTTAGGATTACTACAAATAAGATATGATAGAAGTATAAAGAAAGATCCATCCTAATGGCATGTTAGGTCACGTTGAATTGGTTATTGCTTCAAACCCCAACTCATTTAAATTTAAGAGTAATGTTATGATGTCCGAATTTATATTTTTTTATTGACATCAATAGATAGAATTTAATAAGAATTTTTTTTGTTAAGAAGGCATAAATTATTACTACATCAGATAGTGATAGTTACCTATTGACAAATTTATCTTTTTTTACTAAAATTACACATACATTACTGTATAATGTAAATTTAATTTAATCTCATTTACATATTTTTCTTTGTTTTCTTAATAACTCTCTACCTTAAGCATCAAGTGAAAGTGAAAAAGGAAAGGCAACATAATTGAAAGAAAGAGAAGGTTGCAAGAGTACTTCAAAGTAGTGGAGGAATTTAAGGAAATGAATAGCTGAAGAGGATAAAGTGAGAGGACAAGAACATTGCAATCATTTCACCTTCAGCTTAGTCTTTCATATCAAGAAAAAAAAAATTATACTTTCCCTTTTATGATGAAAGACGTGACCAAATCAAAGTTAATGATTATCAAATAGAAAAACTTAAAATAGGAAAGAAAAAAAAAAATAAAATTGGAGAGGTACTTTAGGAAAAGGGTTCCACATCCTAGCTATCATCTCATTGCTGTCTCTAGGCAATTATTAGTTAAGACCCATGACAAAGGTCATGTGAAAATGAGAAATTAATGATTGTTCGAATGTGAAAATGAGAAATTAATAGTCTATAAAAAATTATATAATTAATGAAAAAAAAATCATATATACATATGTAGTATAATATTACTATTCCCTTAAAGATATAAAGAAGAAAAAAAAAATTGAGGAAAGAAGGCCAATCCGTTTTTTTACAGTAAATACTACTCGTAGTTTTAAATCCTCCAAGTCAGTGCTTGAATCACGCGATTATACCATTGGACTAATGATCCATCCATCCATCCACGGTGTTCAATATCTCCGTGGATTCAACTTGCCCTCGACTCGAATTTATTGGGAGGTATTTTGGTAAATTTTATACTTTTTATGTTATCCTAATACAAAAATATTTATTTATTCAGAACTCTTTGTATTCGTGATTAATCATTCCTGTAACTTTGTATTTATTTGTTATGTGTATTTAATTTTTTTTTTCTTTTTAACTTGAGTGAAATGGTGATATCACATCATTATGCGCATAGGTGGTATATATCATAAATCAAATAAGAAGATGTCATTTTAATTATGTCAATTGGTAATCAATTAGGTCTATCTTCTTGGGTGGGCATGCATGTTTTGATAACTACGGTGGAGTAAGGGCCTTATTAATGAGTTAGGAAAATGTGGGGTTTGAATATCGAAAGGTACTTTGAAGAGTTGTTTTCACATCACTGTACATGCCCTCATTGCAAGGAGGGCTGCTTGAACACCTCTTTTTTAAGTGTGTGGTCACATAATTGCCAAAACAATCCTATTCTCAGCCAACTTGACATCTCAACCAACATTTGCATATATGCATGTAAATACATGTGATGTGAATACTACCTGCCCAACAATTAATTATAGATGGCACCCATGTCATATCCAACTGTGAATTTGGCCTAGAAAAACAACTTTGTCTTCACATTCAACACATCTTAGCTTCACATTCATTGCAAACAATAGAAATGGGGGAGGGCTAGCTTTTAATGCGATTTACAAAAGAGTAATATTCAAATTTCAAATATATGCCCTGCATTTATTCATGAAAGGTATTCCTAATTATATCATCTCTATCGTCTTCCAAATAAGTCACATGTCGTCAATTAGAAATGGAATTGTGTTATGCTAGGTCGTGACCCGCACAATGGAATTGTGTTATGCTAGGTCGTGACCTGCACAAGCTCGGCTCTTGAATCTCGCAAGTCTCAGGCATTGTGCTCAGCTTCAAGAGCTGCGATTGTGCAATCGCGAGGCTCACAGATTCAACAGTTGAGATTGTAAGCATTCTCTATTGGCTATATAACCATATGGTGGTCTTGCATTTTTCCAATTTATTCCATAAACTCTGGTGGTCTTGCATGAATGAGTGGAAAACTAAAGCCATTCTAAAAATAATGGATGCCCAATAATCCTTATGCCCTTACATTCACAAGCACCTTTAAAAGTGGGATTCTTTGTGCATCAAAAAAGGAAAGTGGGTAATGTACATGAGCTTTAGTACTAGAGATCACTAACTTTAAATGGTTTCAATGAAAAAGAAAAAGGAAAAACAAAAGCTGCATAAAAGCTAAATCAAACTTGACATTGAGCCTTTTAGGCAAATTTTACTCACCATAGATCAAAATTGCAGGCTTTTTGGTATGTTAAAAACTCAAAAAAGATGAAAATATATTCCATTTGTAAAGAAAACAAAAATAAATAAATTGAATGAAAGATTCATAATACAAACAAAAATAAATAAATTGAATGAAAGATTCATAATACATAGAATTAAGGAATTTACACTACTCTAAATTTGCTATTGCAAGGATTCTTCTATTATGGTTCTTTTCTCTCTCTATCTATTTTCTTCTTCTTCTTTTTTTTTTTTCGCTTTCTTTGGATGCTATTTCATGACATGTTAATATGGACACTAGCATTCATGTTAGAGTTACATACAGGGCAAGTGAGGAGGAGGGTGGACCCACACATAGTACACAGACAGAGATGCCTGCATGGCAGCAACAGCACACAAGACTCTCTCTCTCCACAATTCTTGCACATCCTGTCCCCACCACCACCACCACCACCACCAACCGCCACCGCCTTATCCTTCACCCCATCCTTCTCTCCGCCATCCGCTGCTAAGGTGCGCCACTGCTGCTGCTCCACCTCCACATCCCTATCCCTCCCAAAATCATTGCTGTCACAGCACGACTCCGCATCGTCCGCAGCCTTGTCTCCTCCTCTTCCTCCTCCGCCACCATAATCGCCGCCGCCGTCGCTAACGTGAGCCAGGACCTGCTCCAGATTGATGCGGAGAGAGTTGGCTGTGGCTTCATTCGTCTGAGCTAAGTCCCTCCATAACTGGTTCTCTGTGCACAGATTCCTCACTCTTTCTTGAAGAACCAAATTCAACTTCGCGATTCTTTGAATCTGTTCGTCTTTTTCCTTCATTTTCTTCACGATTCCTTCTCCAATCGCCGAAATCAACAGCCTTGCATGATGCTTCTGTCTCTCTTCAATCTCTAATCTGATTTTCTTACTCTGTTCAATCACCAAAAGAGTTCAAAATCAGAAACAAATATATATATATATATATATATATATATATAAACAGTCGTGAAGAATTATACATGTTCGGCGACGATGTGGTCGATCTCGAATTGGTGTTGTTGGATCTGGAATGAGATGTCATCACCAAAAAAAGATGGGTATTCATTGAGATTGGTTTTCTGGGGGACTATGAAAGTGTTTGATTGATTGAACGAATCTCTGGAACGCTTTCTTTGAGCTGGAAGATTGTAGGTGAGTCCACTATCTGTGTTCATCGACGCTGTCACCATCGGAACAGACTCACAAACGATTGACTGATGTAACGGCAATAAAGTTTCCGGCATTGTTCCGGTAAACGGAAGCCCAGAACCCATCTGGGTATTGTATATTAATGCGTTTGGTCCATTGCTTTTGATGAAATCTCTGCAAAATTCCAAACCCGTTAAGGAAAAACAAATCTAGAGGGAGAAAAACAGAAAATTAATGCTTACCCATTAAGGTAAACAGTGATGTATTAAGATTTTGAATACCTGTTCGTGGTTATTTGTGGAGGAAAAAGATTGAGATGTGCTTCAACCGCCATGAAAGTGTTGTTGCTGTTTAGGTATGCTTGATTTCTTGATGGGTTCAGTTAGAGAGAGAAGATGGAGAATGGAGAGAAGATGGAGAATGAGGAGAAGATGAGCACAGCATGCTTTGGAGGTGGGAAAGTATGGGAACTGGATGCGTTAGCTTTATATGAAGCGTTTTGGGTTTTTATGATAGAGAGAAAGAAAGTCAAAGATTTTCTAGAGAGAGAAAGAGCAGTCCGTTGCTAATTCTAGAGAGATAAAATTTATTGTACTATTGTATGGCTTCAAAATGAGTAAAACAAGGTGGCTAGGCTTATCTGTGTTGATAAATACAACAAAATTAATAAAGGGTTAAAATTATAAAACTTATAAAATTTTAATCTGTTTTAAAAAACTTTGCTTTAATATTCGTGATTAGTTAATTGAGTTATTAAATAACAAATTTAATATTATTATTTAATGTTAAATTAAAAGTTAAATTAAAAATTAAAAATTATTTTTAAAAATTACAAAAATTATGCCCTCTCATTCTCTAAACCCCACAATCTTCTCTCTTAAACATAATTTTTATAATTTTAAATGATATTTTTGTGATTTTTAAAAATAATTTTTAATTTAACTAAAATTAAATGTGTCATTTTATTATACGGAACCCATTAATAAATAAGTGTTTTTTTTTTTTTTTTTTTCAATTAGTACCCACTTTCTTTAAAATTATAAGTTGCCTCCACTCCAACCTTTAAATTTGAAGGCTATAATTGAGGCTTTTTCGTAGCATTTAGCGAAAGTGTAGGGATAATTTGGTAAAATAAAAAGATCATTAATTACTTTGTTTAGCGTGGCAATGACATTATTAGTAACTGACACTGGACACCATCCGCCACGTTTCAGCTCCTTTAGCCGGCTGCCACGTAAGCAGACACTACAATCCAACAGACTTTATTTTTATATTTATTTATTGCAACAGACTTTATGTATATATTTATTGTAATATATATCTATAGATGTATTTAATATTATATTGTCTGTACACTGTATCAGAGGCCATTTGATTCTGCGGGACTCGCAAAGAACGTGATTGCAGTGGGACCCACCCATCTGCACGGTTGATGTGTCCAGATCCGAAACTGATGAGCCTAATGCCACCACTGTGGGGCCCACTGGGAGGTTCCGTGGGACCCACTTTTGTTCATTTGCGGTTTCCCATTTTGCTACGTTGTCCCCTCCTAGAGCTCGATTGGTGTCTTTGTACGGAAAACTAGGCATGAGAAAAAAATACCTTATTTATTTACTATTTTTAATTTATTTAGTATATTTACCAAAAGGAAGCAAAATAATCCTATACTTTTAATACACTTGTATTTCGGTGTGCCCTCTTGTCATCACCGTGGATTTGTATGATCAAAATGTCAATGCCACGAATAATTCAGTATGAGACCTATATGATCGGTGAATGATAAGTACGGATAAGGTAGACTTGTTCATAGAACAAAATTTAAAATTAGGACATGGTATAGTAGAGATAGGTCAATAATACAATAACAGAATATATTATTATGAAATAGAATTATTTTAGCTGATTTTTTAACTACATTTTCATGTGTTTTCAATCACTAGTTTATTATTTTTGCTGTTTTTGTCTTTTTTTAGAATTATTAATTAATTCAAACTATATTTTAAAATTATATTAGAACTCTCTATGTTTTTAAAAGTTTTCGCTTTTTCTTACTTGATAACGTGTCTATTCCAGTAAATGAATAACGTTTGAGAGTTCAGTTCAAAATTAGTTGGAGTTAAATAGTTTGTCAGTTACAATTCGAATTTACATTGTTGAAGTCAAATTTAATTATAATTGCTTGTGTGTTATTTTTTTAATTTAATTATATTATATATGACAATCTAGATTACTTTTAAAATTTCTCAAGAAGTATATGATTCTTCACAACATAAATATTAGTCATTTATGTGTTCTAAAGGACTCAATCTCTTGGTCAATTTTTTGCCAATTAGAATAAGATCTTCTTATATATATATATATATATATATATATATATATATATATATCAGAATACAATTGAACTCTCTCTTGGACCTTTCTCTCCCAATTAATCAAACATGTTTGTTTCATGCCCGAAATTGATGCTTGAAATTTCATGATTGTAGTTTGAAACAACAATTATTAGCCATGGAAATTTTCTACAATCATCTAGGTGTTCACTACTAACAATTCAAAAAGTTTGAAATTTATTAGTCAAACATAAAAAAATTGTCAAAAAAAAAAAAGAAAAAAAAATTATAATCTTTGAAACAGACACTTTAACTTCCACAAAGAAACAACAAAGAACCCAATGTGTGTATGTTTGAAGAGGGTTTTATGGAATTTGATATATTTGTGACAATTGTGGTTCTGTATTCATATTAGGGTTCTGCCATTGACATTCCAATTTTGACTTCGACAAATTGAGTAGGAAGCGATAATCTAATAACTAATAAAAAGATCCTATTGGTGTCGCCTTTTCTAATGAAGACTTACAGATGTTTATTATCAATATGATATTTTATGTGGCTCAAACATTATTAGGAACAAAAAAATTAATTAAAAGCTTGCTACAAGGGCTAATAGTCCAATTGTCATTAGGTGATTCTTAAATTTATATTAAAATTACCACATTGGGTTAAGATTTATTGTACAAAATCCCCTTATATAAGCTATATGAGATTTACAGATACATCCTTTTATATAAATTAATAGGCTAATCCACACCAAAGTATGGTAACTTTTAGTCATTATTGTTTTTTTTTTTAATTTTTTTTTTTTATTTTTATTTTATTTTTTATTTTTTTTAACTAATCTTATTAAGACTTGAATCATAACCAATGTTATAGTGTGGATAAATTTGATATGTGTGTGTGTGTGTGTATATATGCAAATTTCTTATTTCCCTAGATTTTATGCATTGCACATTGAGGACAATTCAGGATTTAAAAAAAAAAAAAAAACCATTTAACCTTTAATCCTAATTTGTTTGCTAGAAGGAATAAAATTGGATGAAAGAGAGAGAAGTATGAGATGTCCTGGCAGAAGAGATTTTGTCCTCCACATTTTTATTGTTACTTTGTGTGTTATTAGAGAACTGAGAAAGGAAGAGGGAATTTTAAATTGTTTTTACTATTGTATTTATTATTAATCAGTTTGTGTAATTTATCTAATACTTATGAAGGATAATATTGTAATTTAAAACTTTTAATAACCCACTCTATCATGTTCATATTTGAAAGAATAAAAATTTGTGAAGGCAAAAAAATAACTCATTCATTCTACTATCATTTCTCGCCTTATCTCTCTCAGTACGAAATGAAAGAAATTTATTTATCCTTTCTGAATCTTCCTTCGTTTCCTCGTCCTTCCAAAAAAAAAAGCACAATCCTCTAAAAAGATACAAATTAACAGAGTAACCAAAAAAAAAAAAAGTCTGATGAGAATTTTCAAAGTTGAAAATCCTCACAATTATAAGGAATAATTTTCAATCCTCTAAGTTGAAAAACCTCCAGCTACGTTCAATAATATGGTCACCACCAAACCTAATGTGGATTTCCTAGGAAAGCTCCGAGCCCATGTAGAAACATTCAAATGAAACAGTCATCCCACCATGCATGTTCACAACCCCATCTAACATTTTCTTCTACTTTCCGACATTTTCCCAGTATCCATGCACAACAAAGAAATAAGAGAACAAAGAAAAGTAAAAAAAAAACAAAGAAGAGGTGTTACCACTAAAAATAAAATAAAAAGATATATACAACAGATTGGATTCCCATAAACACCGACTCTCATCTCTCTTTTTTTCAATCCCTCTATTATTGCTTGCTTTCATCACTCAACTATATATATATATGTGTGTATATATATATATATATTTATATATGATATATCCATCCAACCTTTTTCGTTTTGAAACCTTGACCACCCAATTTAAGACAATACCAAACTAGTAATCATGTTAATAAAAGAAAGAATGAGTACTTGAGAGTTGAGATGGAGGTGCAGCTAAAAATCCAATATAATATTAGATAAACATATATAACTATATAATATTGTAAATTAATTGCAACATTTTTTTTTTATTTTATATTAATGATTTGGTATGTTACAATGTGCAAATCCAAATATGAAATATTTAAGGGTGTTAAACAGGTTGGACCCCAGAAATGATGAGATAAGGACATTGTTATATAATTAAATTACAAAAAATTAAATGAGGAATTAGCGCTAATTATAAAAATGCTGCTTAAAAGTATAAGAATCCAAGTATGATACAGTGTGTATTTATATATGTCTATCGTGATTCATGACAGTGTCTCTCTCTCTCTCTCTCTCTCTCTCTCTCTATATATATATATATATATATGTATATGTATATGAATGGAAACACATGCATTTTGATTACATTAGCTTGCAACATCAGTAGTAGCACATGACATGGAATATCATGTCAAGTGTTCGAGTGTCAGATCGATGTGTCCATGTTCAGAAATGGCCTCTTTTGTTGGTTTGTTATAGTGGGAATTAAGCACCATTTGGTCCAAGAGAGAGTGAAACAATTGCTTAAATCATGTCAAATCTTTTATCATGAAAGCTTAGCTAAGAAGACTAGCTGTCTACACAGATATTAAGTCCATTTCTTGTTCTTTTCCCACCACCCACTTGTTATCTCTAATACATTATAAATTACAAATTAATCCCAATCTAAATGTTACAATTTTACAATGATGGGTGTGTGATTAGATTCTCTACAGTATAATAAATATGTTCTATTAAAATAGACGGTCACGATCACTTACACTTGTGAACGATCACAAGTGTAAGTGATCGTGACCATATGTTTTGTATCACAGGAATTCTCTGTCTTTAAATAAGAGAGAAAATAAAAGAAGTGATAGCATCAGTTATAAGAGAAAGAAAAGAAAAAAAAAAAAAAAAGAAAGGATGTTTGAATAAATTATGAGAAAAAAGAAAAGAACTAATACAATTCTTGTTTGAAAAAAATTGAGGAAAAAAAAAGAAAGAATGAGAAATAAATTACTATTATAACTTTTTTATAAAATGTTATAAGATAAAAGTAAAATGTTATTAGAAATGGTCCGGTGAAACAATTGCTTAAATAATGTCAAATTTTTTATCATGAAAGCTTTGCTAAGAAGACTAGCTATCTACACAGATGTTTAGTCCATTTCTAGTTCTTTTCCCACAAATGTGTTG